CCAAGGGAACAACTCTTTTTTTTTTTTTTTAAACTTTTACTGGGGAACAGTGTGTTTTTCCAGGACCCATCAGCTCCATGTCATGTAGTTGTTTCAATCTAGTTGTGGAGGGCGCAGCTGAGTGGCCCATGTGGGGATCAAACCGGCAACCTTGCTGTAATGAGCACTGTGCTCTAACCAACTGAGCTAACCGGCCGCCCATAATTCTTTATATCAATTAGCCTATGATAAAATTGGTTCAGTTATGCATTGTTTCACTTAAAGTCACAAAGCTACCGTGACACTGAGGACTTACTGAACCCCATTTTATAATGTTCCATGTAAAAGCAACAGGACTCTTTGAATCTGAGATGTTTGAAAGCCATACATAATCACATCTGAAAAAATTAAAAACATATGCTTATATGGTGTAAACCATATCTAATGAAAACCCTATAAAAAGAATGCCTTCGCTGCAGAGAAGCTTGTGGGGTGGGCCCTGAGTTTCTGGAGAGGAATCCTCCCACATCCTGCAGGGGGAATTGGGAAGTATAGCCCCTTTTCCTACCCAGGCCTGGCTACCTTGGAGGTGGGGAGGTGGGGGCTGTGAAAGCCAGGTCTGAGCAAGAGATCGCCCTCCTTCCCATTGACCAAGGCTATTATACATCCTGCACTCAGAGGCTGACAGTGGCCTGTTCTCTTCTAGTCCTGGGCTCAAGCAGCCTGACTGCATTCAGACCTGGACATGCTTCATTAGGGCCCGGGGCCAGAAAAAGAACTATTATATTTACCTCCCATTGTTCCAGGTGGAGAGTAGATGGCTGTGATTTCTGAGTTGAGAACTCAAAACCTCCCAGGAGTTGAACTTTCCCCTCCCCTCTTATGGTAATTTTCCATCGTGCAGGGTGTGGCCTGGCCTCCGTTTGTGGGGAGGATGTGGCCACCCATAGGGAAAGAGCCTTCTGTGTCATTCTGGCTAGTCGGGAGAGAGGGAAGAGTGTGGTGCTGAGTCATTATTGGGTTACTTACCAGCTTCTCACAGGATGGATTCTGAGGTGGAGCTTTGGAAGCCATTTCAGCTTCTGGGCCCAATTTTGGAGTGGTGGGAAGGAATTCATGAGTCACACAATTCCCTCAGAGCCCTCCAACCCCAGGGAAGTGGCAGGAATAAAGTAGGCTTCAATTCATTTTAAGGGGCGTCATTCTCTCTGGCGTATAGAACTTTCTGTAAGTATTTCAGAATCCCCCTGCAATGGGGCCAAACATGCCACCCTTTAAGTTAAAGCATTGCCCACCAACGTTATCTTATCTAGGAGAGAGACCAACGGTTGTCTCCTTAGTCCTAGCTGTCCTTTCCGGAATAAGTAGGTCAAGTTAGCTGGTAGCCAGTGAGCATAGAGGGGGAGACTAGAAGCATGGTACCAACGAAAAAGCAGCCTGGTGAACTGTATGCGGCAAGAGGACTTCTGGGAGAAGGGCTCACTGGACCCATTGCTTGCCGATGCTTTACTTGGTCTTCCAAATCTTGATGACTTTTGGGGGATAGGATCTGCTTACATTTGCATCTGTTTCTTTGTTTTTAAGATTTTATTGGGGAATTGGGGAAGGGGAACAGTGTGGGGGAATTGGGGAAGGGGAATAGCCAAATTGTTGTCCTTCAATCTTTGTTGTGGAGGTGCTAGAGCTAGCTCAGTTTCAAGTCTAGTCACCATCCGGCCGCCCATCTGCAGCTCACGGCCGCTCAGCTCAAGGTGCCGTGTTCAATCTTAGTTGTGTGGGCATAGCCGACCATCCCATGTGTGAGTCCAACCAGCAACTTTATTGATAGAAGCACATGCTCTCACCAGCTGAGTCATCCTGCCACCTGTTGGCAGCTCAGCAGCAGCTCAGCTCAGGCGCAGCTCACTGGTCCATGTGGGAATCGAACCGGCGACCCTGTTGCTCAGAGCTCGTGCTCTTAACCAACTGAGCCACTCGGCTGGAGCTACATTTGCATTTAAGGAGCCAGAGCTCTACTGTACTTGTAGGGAAACGGGAGAGAGCACAGGGCCTCCAACAGAGAGGTTTGGTGGACAGGACTAATCCACCTTAAGGAAGGTTTTCCTGGGAGCCCTAGCAGTCCTGGGCTAGAGAAAGGTTGCTGAAGTTCCCCTCAGCTGACAGGGTCATCCTGGCTAAGGCCGTACTTCCACTGGAATGAACAAGGACTCCTCAAGCTTCTTTCTTCCGCCTAAGTGCTGGTGGGGCATTTCCTCAGGAGGGGGTCCTAGATACACAGTTGCATTCAGAAAACATTCTTCACTGTTCCTTTTCCCTGGAATAGCCTTTCCATACCCAGCTGTATCCTAACCAATACTCCATGTCTCCTATTCCATGAAGCCTTCCCTTTCCCATACAGACAGCCTGTTCTCTTGTTATCCTTAACTCCAAAAGGCCAACTTCCTCTTCCAGATTTTTTCTGGAGGGGAACTCTGGAATTAAGATCTTGTAGGCCCTGGTAGGCCTGAAGAGATCTTGGAAGTCTGAAGGAAGGCACAGAATAAGTTTAAAGATCTACTTGGTCTGGCTCTGGGAAGGGCATATAAAGTCCAACGTGATAAGCACTTCTGCTTTAAACTTGACACTCAGGGCCTATGGGCTGCCCTGAAAATCTGGACTGTCCTGAGAAAGAAATAACATTGCTGTTTTGGGCCAAGAACAAGAGGGCACGTACTGGTCAAGTCTGTAACCAGGGCCAAAACTCATCTCTGGGCTGCAAGACTGGTTCCAGCATTGTTTGCTGACATACCTACCCTCCCCCCCCCACCAGACTCCAAATGACCTTTGAGAAGCCATTAAACTCCAGATTCTGTGGTTCTGTGGCCCAGAACCCAAACAGGTAACACGGCAGTCTACATCCTCACTCACACCTGAGTTCAGTGAACCTAACAGCTCTGTCTAATCCAGCCAGGTCAGGGAGCACAGAAGGCTCTAGGAGGAGGAGCCTGGCCTCTAGGAGAATCCCTTTCCTCCCTCAGCTTTCCCGTTTCCTGTACTCCTGGGGTTACTTGTTGCTGGGTCAAGGGAATGAAGATTCAAGAGGATGGCCAAGAGAAAGGCGAACTGAGTTACTTGAGTTCAGAAAGATGTTCTTGCACTTTCTGACAACCCTTCAGGACTAGTTCAATTCCCAAAGAAAGTGGATGCCTATTGGGCACTGTGCTGTACTCATTCACATCATCTGATCAAACCCTATCCTGTGAAAAAGGAATTTTCTTTAATTTACATACAAGGAACTGGGCTCACACATTATAGGACAGTCATAGGGACTAATGAGTGGAATTGGAACTAAGATATGATGGAACCTAAACTTTCTTCTATACTACGTTGCTTTTCAGCAACACAGTACCTTAAACTCAATGTGACAAATGTTCATTATGCATTTCATGTGAGGATATGCTGGGTCTTTCTCTGCCAGTTTCATGGACAGCATTTTTATAACTGCTGACCAACATCTGTAACTGAGGGGCAACAGTTTGTTGCCAACTCATCACTTTAATAGACGTGCATTTCAATTTGGGGACTATATCTAGATTTAGAACTTTAAAACACAACATAGTACAGCACTGGCGCAATCATTCCTCCCTCCTCCAGTGCTGTCCACCACTGTACTTAGCTCATCCTTAGCTCAGGGGTCAGAGAGGGCTGATTATGCTAGTCCTTTTTCTCTGGGTAGGGAGGAATCTCATTATCCCTGGTGGGGTATGGCTTTTTTTCCGCTCAGCAACTTCATGTGCTCTCACTACCTCAATGAACAAGCATTTACTTCCTATCTACAACTAAGGAGACAAGAAAAGACTCACAGAAGAAATTAAACATTTATTCTCAAACAGGAGCTGACTTTTAGGCTGTCATTTGCTCCTCCCAGCTTATCTGGGCTGGAGGAAAGCATAATGAAGACCTGTGATTCAGCTGCCCGCAGGGTGTCTGCCTGAGCAGGTCACACCCATTGGTCTCTTCCCGGAAAAGGAAAGAGCCGAAAAGAAGTCTTCACGATTTTTAATGAAGCAACATTGTATCTGCTCTCAAAACTTGGCTGAATGAAGGCAAGGGTTAACAGCTGTTTCATTGATAACTACTGTTATCACCGGTTGTTGGCTAATTACTGAGAAATTGGAAAATGCCTTGGAGAAAACGTAAGAAAAACAATACTGATTTTAAATACACAAGGTTGAAAACAGTGACTCGGGCAAAGATAATTGGCCTTCACGTTCGAAGTATTTCTTGACGGTCATTTCTGCACTAATATTAATACTTTCTATTCGCTTTCTATTGTCAGGCACTTACTCTGCAGGATTCCAGCCCCTACTCAAGTATTCCCATGGCCCCAACTTGTGCTTTCTTGTTCTGGCCCTAAGAACAAAGGCCTCGCGCTCCCGCTCCAAGAACATTCCGCCCTCCCTAGTTCTCCCCACCCCACTCCCGGCCCGACCTCCAACCATCCCACGAATCTCCATCCTCCCCACCTTCTGATCCCATCTCGTGCTCCCCAACCTCCTTTTCGGCTCAGTCCCTGTGGTGTGCGCTGGGGCGGCACCCTTAGGGGTGGGGAGTCGCGGGGCGGCGCTGGGGGAAGGCTGCCCGAGGACCCATAAATCTGGGCACCGCCCCAATAGGCCAGGGCAGCTGGGGTGGCTTGGGCCGAGGGTCAAGAGTACAGCTAGCCCTCCTCCAGCGTTCCAAGTTGGCGGCAACAGGTGGACTAGGCGCCCGGGGGTCTGAGAGGAAAGGTCCGAGGCTCCGAGGGCGGGTCTTGCCGTCTCCTTGCTTCCCCATTGGCCTCACAGAGTACGGGATTCATTTTTCATGTACCGTATCCTTCCGCCACGGAATATAGTCCTCCCCAAAGGGCAACCTGACTGCCTGTTCCGGCCCCGCGGCACTTCCTACAGAAGTGACTGCTCCCCGCGAGGACGTAGGGGGCGGGCCGAGCGAGCGGGGGGAGCCAGGATTGGGTGGGGGGCGGGGCGGCGGAGGGATTGCGGCGCCCTGCATTCGGGATAACCTTGAGGCTGAGGCAGCCGGGTCCACACAGGAGCGACGCGCCCAGAACCTGCTGAGCTCTCTGTACCGTACCGGCAGCCCGAGCGAGACCACGCCGGAGGTGAGCGGGAGGGAGAGAGGCTGAGCCATCCGTCCCCACCTGGGCTCCATCCGCCCGGCTAGTGCGGAATCGTGGCTCGTGTGCGCACTCAGGGCACCCATTCCGGGGCGGCGCGGGGTCCTGGGCATCTTTTACGGGGTTGGGGTCGGGAGAGAGGAGAAGCTGCTCGCGCGTAGGGCCTGCTCTTCAAGGCCTCCAGCTCCTGTTTCTTCCAGTCAGATGACTCAGCCAGACCCTCTCCTGCGCCAGTCCCTGCCCTAATTCTGGTCCCATTCTCGCCTCCCTTCCCTCATGCCCTCCTGATCTTTCCTCTCCCTCCCCGCTTGCTCCCTTGCTCGCCTCCTCCCCTTGCCCCTTAATACTATTCCATTTGCCCTTCGTCTTCCACCTGCCCGTGTTTCCCTCGTTCTGATGCTTTCCTTGTAACCTCGCTACGTCCCTCCCCCATTCAAGTTCCCAGTGCCCTCGTGCCGACAACTACCCCATTCATGCGCTTGTTCCGCCCCTCCCCCCCCATTCCGGTCACGTCCGCTCCTCCGCATCCTTCTTTCGCCGTGCCGTCCTCGCCCCTCCTCCTCGGTTCTGAACGTGTGCACGTCCCCTCCCCCGCCCATCTGGTCACGTCCCACTGCCCCCCCCCCACCACACGAGCCCCCCCAACTCCTGTCCCACTTCTCCATCACGCCTCTAGTTTCCAACTCCAGGATCCCCGGACCGGTGTCCGGGGCTACCGCCGAGTGCAGTGGTCTGCGGGCAGGCAGAGCTGGCTCGGGTGTGGCCGGGGATGCAGCGGTGGCCCGGGTTACGTAACCTTGGGCCTTCCCGGCTGCAGGGGAAGAAAGGGTGGTTGCACCTAGGCGCTCCAGATTCGATGGGTGGCTCGGGCGCTGTGCTCACTCCGAAGGCGTCGCGGGGCTCCATCCCGCCGCGGTGGGGCTGCACGTAGCAGCCGGCGCCTGAGACCTGCCCCGCCCCGCCAGACGACTGGCCTGCGGGCCCATTACCGCCCAGCCTCACCTCGGGCCCGGCCAGCCACTCGTGCGGCGCGGAGGCCACGGGGTGGGTGGGAGCAGGTGTGAGTAGAGGACAAATAGGTCCAGAACTTGGTGCCATGTACCACCTTCACTCAGTAAAAACTGTGTTCTGCAAGCTGTTTTGGGGACGGGGATGGAGACCCGGATGACTATACCGGTCATAGCCCACAGAGCTCACAATCTCAGAGAACGAACATAGAAGTTATCACTGGTTAGTGTGATGAGGCAGGTATGACCTTCCTGCTTGGGGAGGGGTTGATGATAGGAGGCCTTACAAGATAGTATCACAGTGGGTTTGAAGAAGCAGGAAAGTACTTGCTGTCTGAAGGTTATTTAAAGGCACCTTTGACTTCTTGTCCGTGTCCTGCAATCCCAGGACACTGATCCTCTCCTGTACAAGGGAGCCTGATAGGTGACGTCTGTGTGTAGTGGATAGAGGCATTGGGAGGTTGCCAACAGGCTTTTAGAATCTGGCTTGACTCATATACCCATGAATGACGGAGGGAATTCAGCCTGAGGGCCTCTTTGCCATGTGTAAACTGAGTAACATTTTCCTCATGCTTGTTGAAAGGGTTCGTCTCTATGCACACACCTAGGTGTGTATGTATGTACTTGTCAATGCAGTGTCTAATCTCTGGTGAGATGTCCAGAAGAAATGCCCTAAATGTATTCTTTTAGTCACCGAGCACAAGTATTTAATATGTAACTGAGCAGGAGGGCTACTCTTCATGCTATCCCCAAACTCTCATAGTTAATTTTTGGGAGACAGGCTCTCTAAACACCAATCTCCTGGAAACCAATTCCCTCAGAGATCCTGGTACAGTGTTTACAAAGCAACTAATAATGTTACTTTGTAACTCCACTTAAAACAGGTTTCCTGAGAAGGGGGACCTCTAGACAAAGGAAAGGGAGGGCATTTCAATCTTTGGTGTTTGGCTCTAAGCAGAAACAAACTTGCAATTTTTGAAATCTTCAGAATTGAAATCTTCACATTCTGTACCCACCAGCTGTATTCTAGGATCTGCTCAGCCAGCTGGTAAGTGTGAAGTTAGGACTGGCTCCCCGAGGGCACTAGCCCCCTCTTTGCTGTAGGGAGGACGAAGCCACTCCCTAGGGTAATAGGAGGGCCTAGGTCAGGACCTCCACCCTGCAGCATTGTTAGCAAATAATTTGCCCTCTGGTTTGGGAATGCTGCTGGGAAGGCAGGGGTGCTGTTTGGAGAGGCTAGGTAGTAACCCATCACCAGATCTGTGGGGAGGATGACTGAACCTTTCAACTTATCTGCTTTTGAGAAAGTTCTCTTCATTGGGTGAGTGGGCAACTTGTAATCTTTGCAGGTTTAAAAAGTCCCCTCTCCCCTTTTGGTGAGTCAAATAACAAAGCGTGTATTTCCCCCAGTAAAAAATGTCTCAACTAAGTGGATTGGTCCAGGTCCCCAGGCTCTCTGTCTGCCCTAAGAGCTGAGCTGAGGTGAGGTGTGGCAGAGCCCTATACCCAGGTAATGCAGCCTGTGCACCTGCATTCCTGTGCCTTCTGCAGTGGGCATGGCAGCCTCATGGGCAAAGGACTGTAGTGGACACGAATAAGGACTGAAAGAGTGTCTTTGAATTCATTTCTGAGTTACTGGATTTGAGCCAAAATATATGGGTATTAGTTTCTTCCAGTCTAGTACAGCTGCTCTCATTGTAAGCACTGTATTAGAAGTAAATAATTTTAGTGTTGAATTCATAGTTTAACCAAGAGCATTATTGCATCTTTAAGAAATGCGCCCCTGGTGACTTGACAAATTCGGTGGCTGTGACTTCAAACAGAGCTAGAACGTTATAGGAGTTGCTTCTGTGCCTTGAATGTTGTGACATCAATGTGGAGTCACAGGAAAAGCAATTTTCATTTCTTAAAGCTGTTTTACTTCTTAACGTTGAGGCAATGGGAGAAATGAGGAAATGGCTGTGAGCAGGAAGGTAGAAAAAATGCAGCTCTTGCACCACAGACTCAGTGCATGGGTTTTAATTTGCTTCAGCTTTTATGAAGGCGTGTCAGGCAGGATGCGTTATCCTGGCCAGGAGCTAGGACTGAGACCAAGGTAGGGAAAAGTGAGTCACTTGACATTATTGTTATTTCTGAATCATCCTGAGTGTTCGCAGTAAAATCCCAGTTAACTGGTATACCATGAGAATGAGTTGCCCACAGGAGCAGAGTTTTCTTGCAACCTTGTGGAGAATCTTGTGAGAAGTACAAGTGATTTATTTGGTAAAAGGTCTTATAGGACCGTGAGTCGTAAGCATCACCTTCTGGTACAGGCAGGAATAGAGCAAAATGAAGAACATTCTTAATACTACCATGCTTTCTGGGAATGTGCATGTTTCTCTGAGAGCCAGCCTTCGGCTAGATAAATGAACAGTCTGATCCTTTGACTAGATAAATGACTACTCTTATTCTGTGGGCTTTGTCAAAAAAGCTGTTTTGGGGAAGGTGAGCCAGGGTGGGTGGTTGGTGCTGTGCAGCCTCTGTTAGGCCTTTTGGCGTCCTGGTATGACTGCTCAGCTCAAAAGGCGAGGCTGGCTGGGCCACCAAGCAGTGCCGCCCCACCCCTGCAGTGGTTGTGCCAGTCTGCACGTAGGAGAGCCTGGCTGCAGTACCTCTGGTGGCCTCTGAGACTCCATTCCCCTACTTGTGACCACAGGCAAAGCTCCTGGGGAGCTAGCTCTAAGCCTCTTTCCTGACATCAGCAGGCTGCGTTTGAAAGTCAGGCAGAGGCTGTGGTGGGGGAGATGCCAGGACCCTCTGTGATAGGGCAGTGAGGTTGCTGGTTACAGCATTTCAGAGTACTGCGGGCCGGCTTAGCTGATGCAGGCCACAGAATTCTCCGAAAGGAGTCCATCCCTTCCGAACACCTTTAATCAACCTATAGATAGATCATATTTATTTAACTTCAGGCAATTGGTGTCTCCCCTCTCAGGCGATGGGTCAACTGAGCCAGTCATGTTATGAGACAAAACCATGTGCGTTTTGGAGGTGCCCTGGAGCTTTGATCTAGTTAAGAGGTAGGGAGGTAGCGATCTCCCCGGTACCCCTCTTTTCTTGTGACTTCAGAGTGCAGATTCACAAAGGTCACCCATCAGATGAGCAAATGTTTCAAAAGTCTACCAGGATCAAGTGTTGGCAAAGAGGTGGAAGGCTAGAACTGACATTACTGCTTGGTTGTAAATGGATATTACCACTTCGGAGAGCAATGCAGCGATATTTAGTAAAATAGAAAGTAAGCATAGCCTGTGGCCCGGGAATCCCATTTCTGGATTTCTAGATGCTCACACCTGCACAAGGAGACATGTACTAGGAGGGTATTGAAAATTGGGGAAAAATTGATTTAATGGGGGGTTGGGGGTGGGAAATGGCCAACCAATAGGCAATACATAAAGAAATGGTCTAGTTGTGAAGTGGACTGGTGCTGCAGTTCATATGAATTAACGATCTATGTATCAACTGGATAGATCTTAAACTTGCTGAATGGAAATGCAAGTTGTTCAATGATGTTTTAGAAAACTATACCATAAGGTTCAGTATAAATACAGACACACTTAAGTGAACTCGGAGGCTACAAAATTTGTGACAGTGGTTGGGTGTCAGAGTTCTTGAAGGGGTGTGGAAGGCTGAAGGGGCCTGGGGTAGAGAAAAACTGTATAAAATTGTAGTTTTTTTAAAAAGTCTAAGGAAAAAAATCTGCCTAAATGTTGATGGTCAGTTCTGGGTGGGGGAAATACAGGTGTTACTATTTCCTTTTTAGTTCAAAACAAAAGAGATGCAAACCTATGAGGGTCACTGTAGGAAGACCAGGCGGACTAACTAGGTCAGTGCTCTCAGGGAGCTGGCACTGCCTTTCCTCCCTCCATCCCCCCTCCCTTCCCTCCAGTTGTGATGCAGGGCGCCTCCTCCTTTAAATGCTGAGCCAAAGCCTCACTTTGCTGA